ATTCAAATTTCAAATTTAGCTAAAGAGACAGATACTGTTGTGTTAAATAACTCAGTTTCCCAACTTTTCAATCAACAAATGAGCCATCGATACTTCCATATTAATTTTTATTTTGGCTATACAACACGATGCTATAGATTTTTATCTCTGTTTCAATTAACAATGAAGTTTAAGATTTTTACATGGATCCTGGTTGGAACAATGAAAATGAAGTAAACTCATGCAGGACATTATGGTTGCCTAGTAGAACCTCCCTTCAACACCAACTCTGTCAATTTACTTCCTGCTATGTGAAAGTCCCCTAGTCACACTTGGAAAAAAAATGTATGATAAATTAGCTAATTTTCTCCACAATTGTGTGTGTGTGTGTGTGTGTGTGTGTGTGTGTGTCCTGGCCTTGAACTCAGGGCCTGGGCACTGTCCTTGAGATTCTTCACTCCAAACTGGTGTTCTACCACTTGAGCCACACCTCCACTTGCAGCGTTTTGCTCATTAATTGGAGATAAGAGTCTCACAGCCTTTCCTACTTGGTTAGTTTTGAACCACAGTCCTCAGATCTCAGCTTCCTGCATAGCTAGGATTACAAGCATGAGCCAGCAATTCCTAGTGCACTATATATATATATATATATATATATATATATATATATATAACATATTTGTAAGATCAATGTGGTTAGAGCAATGCCTAAAAGAAGACTTAAATTTTTTTTTCAAAAAAGACTTAAACTGGGAGAGAGAAAGGAAAGGGGTGACATTGTCCAAAATGAAATACATTCACTACCCGACTTATGAACCAGTAACTCCTCTGCATGTCACTTGTTATAATCTGTGTGTGTGTGTGTGTGTGTGTGTGTGTGTGTGTGTGTGTGTGTGTGTGTGATGGGGCTTGAACTCTGGGTCTGGGCACTGTCTCTCAGCTCTTCAGCTCAAGGCAAGTGCTCTACCACTTGAGCCACAGCGCCACTTCCAGTTTTCTAGTGGTTCATTGGAGAAAAGAGTCTCATGGGCTTTCCTGCCTGGGCTGGCTTTGAACCATGATCCTCAGATCTCAGCCTCCCTAGGATTACAGTTGTGAGCTACTGGTGCCTGGCTATAATAACCATTTTTTTTAAAGAAAAGGATAAAAAGACTTGACTCTATCACTTATAATTCCCCCAAATTCAAAACTGTGAGCTCCACACAGTGCACTAAATATGGATTCCTGAATTGTTTGGGGACAGAGCATCAGGAACAACCTGGCACCCTTCACTTTGTAAGGACAACAACATAGAATCCGTCCTGTTAAAGGGAAGTGTTCATGGGTTTTTGGAGGATCCCAGGGGCTGTGTCCTCAATATGAGTCAAGAATATGGAGATCAAGTGGCGCTGTAGCTCACGTGGTAGAGCGCTCGCCTTGAGCTGAAGAGCTGAGGGACAGCGCCCAGGCCCAGAGTTCAAGCCCCACGACCAACAAAAAAAAAAAAGAATATGGAGATCCACGGGACCTGGCTATGTCCAGTCATTTGTTGTTACACACAGGAAAAGACGGCGTTGGGGTGGGATAAGATCTTAGAGAGAAGAGCTCTCTGGAAGTCACAATAGTTTGTGTAGAAGGGCTAATGAAGATCTATTGCCTAGATTCTAAGTTGATCTCTAGGGAAATGAAAATCTACAGGAGAAAATGGCTTGATGTCCCAAAACACCGCCCCACCGGGAACATGGCACCCAGGGCTTACAGTAACAGACATACCTGTGTAATGAACAGGTTTAAGAGGACTTTCCATCCATCCCTGTTTATATACATCGCCTGGACTATTATCCCTCGGGCTGTAGCGTCTTCACCTCACACTTGTTCATCTTGGGCTGATTAGGACCAGGATTTTTGTCTCGGAGACCTAATTCCAGCTCAGAGGAGAATTCTTTACTCATTCCTGGTTGGAGAACACAATTTAGTCCTTTATCTTCAAGTGACTAATTCAGACTGTGACACAAAGCACTTTCTATTGGAGACCTCTATTCAGGTGAGCCTAACAGTCTAACAGGTCCTGCAGGAAAGACCTAGACAAGGCAACCAGGCATGTGGGGCCTGCGTTCCCCTCAGAGCCCCCAAGCCCCGTCTGGAGAAAGTGTAGTTTGCAAAGCTGTTTGCACATTTGATTAATGAATTCATTAACAAAACAAAATTTTAATTTACGAAGTTAAAAATGGCAGTGTCAAGTGTGTGTGTGTGTGTGTGTGTGTGTGTGTGTGTGTGTGTGTCTTGGGGCTTGAACTCAAGGCCTGAGAGTTGTCCCTTAGCTTTTTCCTTTTCTTTTTCCTTTGGAGATCCTGGGGCAGGTGCTGTCTCTACGCCTCTTTTGCTCAAGGCCACTTCTGCCACAGCACTACATCTGGCTTTTTCTGAGTAGTTTTTTTTAAAGATAAAAGTCTCAGACTTTCCTCCCCAGGCTGTCTTCTAACCACAATCCTCATGTCTCTGTCTCCTGATCCACCAGCTCCTACCCTTAGCTTCTTTTGCTCAAGACTGGCACTGGTTCTCTTGAATCACACCTCCATGCCTGGATTTTTGTTGGTTAATTAGAGGTCAGAGTCTCATGGACTCTCCTAACCAGGTTGGCTTTGAACTACAATCCTCAAGTCTCAGCTTACTGAGCAGCTGGGGTTACAGGCATGAGGCATGGCATCCAAACACACACACACACACACACACACCTTTTTGTACAAATGCGTTCAGAGCTTCCTCTGCACAGCACCGTTTGTGTCTAGCGCCGTCTCATTACCTGGTTTGCTTCCACTTCATCTTCGTACTATAGTTCCTTAAGGAAGTTCCTCTTTCCGATCATTAATCGTTTCAGTGTGTAATGTCTCCTGCTATGGCTTCCTGCTTACAATTTAGACCATCTTGTGTATTTGCCTGATTTAATTGTTCATCATGTTATCAGATTTTCAATGGTTTGGCAGAGATTCAGGGGAGATTGTTCAGTTAGAACCAGGTTCTCAGAAAAGTACGTTTTGTGACTTAGGAGACAATGAGGATCGTGTTGGCTGTGACACGGGGCAGGCGAATGAAGGGCCATGAGGCCAGCAAACATCGCCCCGTGCACAGAACAGACTCCACATGCCTGGATCTGACCAGCGTGCCTTGACTGACCAGAGGTGTGAGTTTACATTATGATGTTCGTTTCAAGACAAGATAAGCACTGGTGGCTCACACCTATAATCCTATTCACTCAAGAAGCTGAGATCTGAGGATCACGATTCAAAGCCAGCCTGGGTAGGAAAGCCAATGAGACTCTTTATCTCCAGTGAACCACCCAAAAGCCAGACGAGGAGTTGTGGCTCAAGGGGTAGCACACCAACCTGGACAAAGCTCAGGGAACAGGGCCCAAGCCCTGAGTTCAAGTCTGAGGACCAGCAAAACGACAGGTTTTCAAATTCAAGAGCTTAAAAAAATGAATAATATATGTTCACCTACTTACTTGTGGTGTTACAGCCTTGAATGAGATCGTCTGACCAGCCTTTTTGTTTCCAGCGCTGGGGATAGCGCCAAGGTATCCGTGCATGGTAGGCCAGCTCTCCACGACTTAGCAATGCTGCTACCTCGCCACCCGCAGATATTACGTGCACTGCTCTTGATGTACATCTGAAATGTCCTTTTTTTTTTTTACTTAGAAGAACAACCCTTTATTCATAACAGGATGTAGCTGAACTGAAACAACATTTTTGGTCTAGGAAAGTCTCATGAGGTTGACTGAAAGAATACATAGACAACTTAAATAACTGTGGCTTTTCTGGGAACCTTAAGCTGTAAAGCTATTTAGGAGACTGCAGCTGCCCCTGAATTGGCAGTACCTATGTCAAGCAACTATTTTTTAACCTTTTTTTATAATTTTTTTATTGTAAAGATACTATACAGAGGGTTACAGTTACATGAGTGAGGTAATGAGTACACTTCCTATTGAGCATTGTTAGCCCCTCCATTGTTTTCCCCCTACCAGCCCTTCCCTCCCTACCTTCCCGAGGTTTTTTTTTTTTTATTGTGATTAAGTGATTACATAATTTCCTGAATTTCACAGTATTGTGGAATAATGATGCTCATTTAAAGTCACAAGTTCATTCTAACTTTCCTGGAGCAAATTGTCTATCACAGTCAATAACATATAATGGTGTACACCTGTTATATACCATACATGTGATCAGCAGCATGGGGATATTTAGTAGTGGTTCGACCAGATGAGTGGGAGTTCTTTGTTTCTTAAGTCCTGTTAGTTTTGTTGTATCACCTAACATTTTGGATTTAGCATCCACTTATCAGGGAGACCATGTACCGTTTGTCTCTTTGCTCTTGGCTTACCTCGCTCAACATGATTCCTTCTAGCTCCATCCATTTCCCTGCAAATGCCATTATTTTGTCATTTCTAATGGCTGCATAATATTCCATTGTGTATAGATACCACAATTTTTGGATCTATTCATCTGTGGTGGGGCATCTGGGTTGTTTCCATATCCTAGCTATTGTGAACAGTGCTGCAATAAACATGGAGGTGCACGTGTCCTTGTATATTGGTTCCTGTTGTTCAGGGTAGATGCCTAGAAGTGGTATGACTGGGTCATAAGAAGGTCAATCTTTAGCTTTCTAAGGACCCTCCAGACTGCTTTCCAAAGTGGTTGTATAAGTGTACATTCCCACCAGCAGTGTAATAGGGTTCCTCTTTCTCCACATCCCCTCCAGCATTTGTCGTTGGCTGGATGTGGGATATTCTGACTGGGGTAAGGTGGTATCTCAGGGTTGTCTTTATTTGCATTTCCTTCACCACCAGGGATGATGAACATTTCCTCATGTGTGAAATATCCTATTTTAGTTGTACATAGCTTTCATTCCTCTGAATTGACTATAAAATATAAATGGCATTTATATTTATAAAATGGCATTTGTATTTATAAAATATAGATGGTATTTATGAAAAGTTCCAAATGCACCCTCCCCCTCTCATTTTTATCTCCTCAGTCATAGACCACATGGACCAAGAGAATTCTACACAGCGTTTAGAGTTTCTCCTCCTCGGGTTTTCAGAAGACCCTGACTTACAGCCCTTCATCTTCTGGCTTTTCCTCACCATGTACCTGGTCACTGTCATTGGCAACTTGCTCATCATCCTGGCGATCACCTCTGACCCTCTCCTCCACGTGCCCATGTACTTTTTCCTCTCCAATCTCTCCTTTTCTGACGTCTGCCTTACCACCACCACCATCCCCAAGCTGCTGTCCAACATACAGACCCAAAGAAGGCACATCTCCTTCCACACCTGCATCACCCAGATGCATTTTTTTATCCTCTTTGCCGGGCTGGAAAACTTCCTTCTGACGGTGATGGCCTACGACCGCTTCGTGGCCATCTGTCACCCGCTGCGCTACACGGCCATCATGAGCCCGCGGCTCTGTGTGTTGATGGTTCTGGGGTCCTGGATGGTGAGCATCCTGCATTCTCTCTTGCAGTGTCTCATGGTGCTGCGGCTGTCTTTCTGCTCCGACTTGGAAATCCCTCATTTCTTCTGCGAACTCAATCAAGTGGTCCGACTGGCTTGTTCTGACACCTTGCCCAATGACCTGGTGATGTATTTCACATCTGTGTTGCTGGGTGGGGGGCCCCTGGCGGGCATCCTGTATTCTTACGCGAAGATTGTGTCCTCCATCCGGGCCATCTCTTCAACCCAGGGGAAGTACAAGGCGTTTTCCACCTGCGCATCACATCTGTCCGTGGTCTCCTTGTTTTACTCTACAATCCTGGGCGTGTACCTCAGTGCTGCAACAACACACAGCTCACACCCCAACGGGGCCGCCTCGGTGATGTACGGCGTGGTCACCCCCATGCTGAACCCCTTCATCTACAGCCTGAGGAACACGGACATCAAGAGGGCTCTGAAAAGACATCTCTGAAGGAACAGCACCAACGCGGTGTTTTCAAGAAGATGCCCTTCTGTGCAACGCCCTCCATCTTAGAGCTAGGATCCATCTCTCTCCGATCAGATAGCAGACGTGAAACTTACTCCTCTTTATTATCTGGGGGTTCAAATTTGTCTTCTACTATTTTGTATATTTTAAAAAATGTGTGTGTGTGTGTGTGTGTGTGTGTGTGTGTGTGTGTGTGTGTGTGCTCATGCACACGGGTACTAGGGTTTGAAATCAGAACCTAGATTGCGTTCATTATGTGTGTGTGTGTGTGTGTGTGTGTGTGTGTGCCAATCCCAGTCCTTGAACTCAGGAACTGGAAGCTATCCCTAAGCTTTGTGCTCAAGGCTGGCCTCTACCACTTGAACCACAGATCCACGTCTGCCTTTTTTGGGGTGGTTAATTGGATACATGGGTCTCACAGACTTTCCTCTGACCTCAGACCTTGATTTTTTAGATCACGACCTTCCTGAGTCACTGGGATTACACGTGTGAGCCACCAGCACCTGAGCTATTATTTCTGCATTTAAATACTTCCCCCCCCCATAACCAATGGTGTTTACCATTTCAGCCTTTTCCTGATTTCGAGTTATGCCCAATATGGAGGCCATAAATGCATTTGAGTTTTCCACTTACCTTTTAGGATGATGAGTTTGGCTGCTAGAGTATACACTGCACCGGTAACTGAGGCCGTTCATACAACTTAGTCATTGAGGACGGACTGTCACATCTTTTTCCTGTCATTGGAACCTGCTTATCACACTGTACTCACACCTGTTTCTGACAAGCAGACTTTTTCCTACAAGAGATTTATCAGGTGGTCATGGGGCTTTTTCTCTGCTGGCTATCAATGGGTTTCTTATTCATCTCAGAGTCTACTTAGGCAAAAATTCTTGATCAAACCCGTGTTCCCAGTGGATTGTATACTGCAAGTGAATTTGAACGTAAAGGGTGGCATACTTCGCACCAGAGGGGTAGCGTGCTTTGATGAGGAGTGAAAGTTTCACTCATACATTGAGTTATTATGGCAGACTGAACCTATGTGCAATCATCATGGTTCAAGGCTTGTCCTAGGAAGTCAGCTCATGAGACCTCCCATCTCGACAGAAAGTTCTGAGTATGGTAGCAAGTGCATACCATGCTAACTATGATGGGAAGCACACTAGAAGGATTGTGATCCCAGCTGGCCTGGGTATAATGTGAGACACTAACTCAGAAACAACCAAAGCCAGAAGGACTACAGTCATGACTCGCCTGGCAGGCATTTACCTAGCAAGCATAAGGTCCTGAGTTCAAATGACGGTACCTCCAAAATAAATCAGCAAGTTGCTATCTCAAAGAAGCTCCTCTGTGGGAGGAGGAGATGGGCGTGGTAGTTTACAATTGTCATTCCAGCGAAGTGGTAGGTGTAGGAAGACTGTGGTCCGAGACCAGCACAGGCTTTACCTGAAAAATAACTAAAGAAAAGAGTCTGGAGTCTGGCTTAGGTTGTTTAGTCAAGTATGAGCACCTGGTTTCAAATCCCCAGGCCTATTAAAAAAATAAAATAAACCTGCTGGGAGCTAAAGGAATATTCAAGCTGTGGCCCATATCTATAAGGGATTATTTATTGCACAGAAACAAACAGGAATACATATTCAAGACTCAAAACTACCTGAAGGAACATTAAAAGGTTGTTAAATAAAAGATGCCAATTTCTATCACTGGCTACTGACTGATTTCTACCCTAGGATTCTGTGATGGGGGCGTGGCTCAGCGGTGAGGGCGGGGCTCTGTGGCAGGGGCGTGGTTCATCCTCCAGGGCGTGGCTCTGTGGTGGGTGTGGTTCTGTGATGGGGGCGTGGCTCAGCGGTGAGGGCGGGGGCTCTGTGGCAGGGGCGTGGTTCATCCTCAGGGGCGTGGCTCTGTGGTGGGTGTGGTTCTGTGATGGGGGCGTGGCTTGGCTGCGGTGTGACTCAGTCATGGAGCTGGGCTACCAGGCAGTGGGCCTAGTTACCCAGTTAGCATCGACAGGGCTCTGCATGCCTCTCCCTTAGCTCTGCCGAAACATAAAGCCAACTTGTGAGGTTCCAGAAAAGACAAAAATACGTTAGTGTTAGAAATCAATAGCTTCCACCAAGTGGGTGAAGGCAGGGAGAGATGAACAGGTGGCCCTCAGAAGATACTGAAGCTATTGAGACTGTTCTGTATGATGCCATAATGAACGGTGGATACAGGCCAAATGACAATAGACTCCACATTTCTCTAAAGACCAAGACTGTGCCACCCAAATTCAAATATATATATACATCACATAGAAAAATAGAGATTTTCGGGCTGGGAAGGTGGC